TCTACAAATTCGTCACTGCCTAAAATAGAGAGCTGGATTTTGGGCTTCGTTCGCACTATACGTGCAGAAAAACCGATGGAAACTGGCGTGCATATTTAACTTGCAGAGACATCAGTTTACATCAGTTATTATGTGCGCTTCAATGAGTTTTATACATGTTGCAGATTCCAACACACGTGGTACCAGTGTTGTGGTGTGAACTGGGCACATGGAGAACAATTGATTTTGTTGTGCCCTTGCAGAACGCGTGCAGAAAAACGGACATCTCTGCACCATGGTGTGAACGAGCCCTTAATGTTTTACATTGCTATACCTGCAAAAGGGGCCAGTGTGAAGTGATCTAGCACGACTTAATTTGACTAAAGTTCCACTTTAACCCCTTGATGCCGACCACATGCAAATTAGTGGCCTCACAGAACTGGGCTTTTTTCCGTGGGGCTGCTAATTTGCATACCTGTTCTAACAATAAGGACCCGGAAATTCAAATTCCAGGTCACCTGATCGCTGTGATAGCCTCTGATTGGTGGTGAAGCCTGCCCCCCTTGTTTCTCTCTCTGAATGGAGGAGAGAGATACATTGTATCTCTCTATGTCCTTTCAGAGAGAGGAAAAAAAGTGTGTATAAAATAAAAAAAAAAAAATAAACAAAAATACCCAGATCAAGGTTTGTTCTAGGTCTGTGCCAGGGTTAGTGTTTTGGTCAAGGTCAGGGTCCTTTTATTTTGGCGGGGGAGGGAGGGTTTAGTTCTTTTTTTTTTCTAATTTGTAAATTAGTATCAGTGTCAGAATAAAAAGAAAGCAAATTGTGCACTGTGGTTTCTGGACTGTACTACAGGTACAAACAACTAACATACACACATGCGGTATCGTTGCGATCGTCAGGAGCAGGAGAAATTATTCTGGGTTGTTCTTTGGTGGTAGGTTATGGTAGTAGCAAGACAAATACAGCTAAATGTAAAAAAGGGTTGGGTTTTTTTTTTTTTTTTACTATTTTGGGCCAGTTTTCCTTTGGTAATAATAATAATAATAATAATAATAATTAAAAAAAAAAATAATAATATCAGAAGATAACCATTAACCACTAAATGAAAGTGCAATTTGTCCTGAAAAAAAAAACAAAAAAAACCAAAGTATAATCCACCTGGAAGCACAGTAGTTGTGATGAATTGTACGGTTTTGCTAACACATGTCAAAGTTGCAAAATTGTGCTTAGGCATTAAGATTTGTTTTACCCTTAGGCGTGAAGGGGTTAATAAGGGAACAAATAACCTTACATATTTAGGAGTATAGAGAACATAGCCTCAGTTGACAAAATATAAGTATTGCCTGCTCATAGCCTCTGTTGCAGAGATACAACACAATCAAGTCCCAAATCATAAAGTTTACTTTGCAACTTTATTTTTTAAAAAAGTGATTGTTATTTTCAGTCAAGTGCAATGAGATTTGAAAATTAGTCCTTAAGATCCTTATCCTTGTGATGAAGCTTTGTTAACAAAGCTTGCCCTGTGACTATCTACTCTGCCTGTCCCACCAACATATAACTTTTTGTTTCACCAGTGGATGTCAAAACACAGCACAAGCAGATTAGGTTTTATGTGTATGTGCTCAGTCTGGCACTTTCAAATGAATAAACTGCAAACAAAGAAAGAAAAGATGGGAGTTACAATTAACCAACTGTGTTTCCATCATGCGCACTGTTCAGCATTTGAGTGGACAAATGTCTGGATGGTGGAAGTCAAGCAGTAGAGTGACAATAGCAATCCACACTTACATCTCCAAGCTTTTCCAGAAGAGTGAAAACACTCCATTTGAGGTTAGTTTCCCATAAACTTTATCAGGTGTTTATAGGAAGTGCACAACATAAAATTATATGGTCAGAGTATTAGCATAAAATATCAGTATCATACAGATATTACAAAATACACGAGTATGAACCATATTCAAGACAGTAGTAGCTATCCACTTAAGCAACAGAAGCAATATACACTCTGTTACATACACTTTTAGAAGATGTGAAGGTGCACATGGAATATCTGGGCACCAAGGTGGCGAAGCGACAATCACCCTTGCAGTATAGGTGTACTGATCTGCATTGCTCTCTAGGTTTGCTAGGTGCCCGGTTTATGTTTATACCCAAAAACACAGGTAAAGTAAAGTGGTTCTAAAGTTATTATTTTTTTTTTTTACTTTAATGCATTACCTGCATTATGCTAAAAAAAAAAAACAAAAAAACAAAAAAAAAAACAAAAAACACACAACTTTGCTTTGCGGTTTGTTCCCCTCCCCCAAAATGCTTACCAATGTCCTCTTGTAATCCAGCACTGTGCCTGTCTGCAGCAGTGCTGGTTTCTTCCCATCTCTCTGAGGACATACTGATAGCAGTGGGAGCCATTGGCTCCTGTTACTGTCGAACAAATCCAGTGAGGAGGGAGTGGGGGGAAGATGTTGGCTGAGTCACACTGTGCGTGGCTATGGATGCACAGCCTGGCTCAGGAGCATGCTGATATGGGTGCCCCCGCAGCACACAGCTTGCTATGGAGACACACTCAGGAAAGGAGGAGCGGACAGCAATGGCATAGGACCCCAGAAGAGAAGGGCAGGTAAGTATAAAAGGCTTTTTATTTTGGGATTAGAAAAAAAAAAAAACCTTAAAATTAATTTTAAGAGGTGTCTGAGTAAAATGAATCTCTGTGTGGAATAAAGGTTTAATGAAATGAAAATGAGAAGCGCACCAACCTTGCGCATTACCTCAGTAACCAAAATGTATTAAATAAAATAATCAGTACTGAACACCCATTCCCTTGATGGGATTCACGCTATCTTCAAGTCCCTGTGAGGACTTACATGCCTGATTTCATTCGCTGTTTGGGAGTATATTTTTTACAATTAATACATTTTGGTTACTGAGGTAATGCGCAAGGTTGGTGCGCTTCTCGTTTTCATTTCATTCTGCAGTATTGGCCGGGCTTCCCCAGCCTTGTTTTGGAGCCGCACAGCCCTTTATGCATTGGTGGACAATTTCTCCAGGCCTGGTTCCATCTATTCGCCACCTGTCTGAGTCCTACAGCGCAGGAGAATTTGTCTTTGATTTACTGTGGAATAAAGGTTTGCCAATCCACTTCCGTATCACTACTATGTTAAGAAATTCCAGTGGACAGATACAATAAGGAATCACCACAAAAGTGTACATTGGCTGCATAGCATTCGAGGAAAAAACATACACTCATTACCTGAGATCAGGTGTCTTTCTGACAGCATTATTTTGGTCACAGGGCTACGGTGAACAGTGAATGTCTGGAAAAGCTGAGGACCAGACCCAACAGTCTCTGGATGCTGAACAATAACCCTTACAATACCAGAACTTGTTCCATAGGCTATCTCGATCCAGTTACCACTGTCACCTAAAGAAAGAAGACCGTTCACTAAACTGTGGTATGCAAAAACACTTTATCAGATAGGGGATCACTTCTAAACATACACATTTGTTTGTAGGTTGGGAGAGAACAAGTCTGTGCTAGACACAAATGTCTCTGTGATCAATGACAGCCAAGGGAAATGACTCTTACTGGTTTTGGGAGTGAGGTAGACACTAAGTGCAGTGATAGCATCTTCAGATGGATCACGGTAAAGCTCTGTAACAAGCAAGTCATTGTCCTTCATGCGCAGAGGAAATTTCTGGACATCTGCAAACAAAACAAAAAAATAGAGGAGTGTGAAATAAGATCAAAAACACAGAAATTAAGAAAAGAACCAAGCTTAAGCAAATATTCCTGAGAGTACTAAGGATATGTAAGCAAGGGAAAAGGGTGAAAAGCAATACTGGAGTTCCTTGATCTTCAAGCCCTCAGAAGGCACTACATTAAAACAGTCATGATTCAGTGATGGATATTACTGCATGAGATCAGTAATACTTCCAAAATCCTCTCTGTCTGAATGCAGTTCGCCGTGCCATCCAAAAATGCAAGGTAAAGCTCTATCATGAAAAGAAGAAGCCATATCTAAAAGTGATCCAGAAACGCTGCAGGTTGCTTTGGGCCAAACCTCATTTAAAATGGTCTGTTACAAAAGTGGAAAACTGTTCTGTGGTCAGACAAATGGAAATTTTACATTTTTTGGCAACCATGGGCTCTGCATCCTCCAGACTAAAACAGGAGGGGACCTTCCAGCTTGTTATCAGTTCTCAATTCAAAAGCTTGCATCTCTAAATGGTATGGGGGGTGCATTAATGCATATGGAATGGGCAGCTTGCACATCTGTAAAGGCACCATTAATGCTGAAAGATATATCCAGGTTTTAGAGCAGCATATGCTCTCAGACAATGTCTTTTCCAGCGAAAGCATATTTCAGCAGGACAATGCTAAACTGCATACTACATCTATTACAACAGCATGGCTTCGTAGTAGAAGACTGTTGAGCAGTTAGAATCCTATAGCAGACAAGAATGGGGCAACATTCCTCTCCCAAAACTCCAACATGTGGTCTAGAGGAAGAGGGGATGCTATACCATGGAAAACCTGGCCCTGTCAAAACCTTTGAGATTTGTTGCTGCCACCAATTTCAAAATTACCTTTTTTTTTTCCTCTTATAATGGAAGGTCTCAGTTTAAACATTTGATACATGTTTTCTATTGTGAATAAAAATATGGGTTTACGAGATGTGCAAATAATTACATTCTATTCTTGCACAGATTTTACACAGCGTCCCAACATTTTTTGAATTGGGATTGTACTGTGTATGATGTTCTTCTCATTTCAGCAGTAAATGCAGCTATTGGCAGAGACCAGTCTGTTACACTTACCTACATAGTAGATGGATCCATTGTTACAGCCCAGCAGCAGGAAGGAGCCAGCTGTGTCATAACTGTTGATCGGAACTACATCTTGAATCTGTCAGTAGATAGAACATTAGGCATCATGGAAAGAAAAGGGGTACGTTTTCACCTATGGTTGGATGACAAATGTGCACAGAAACACAAGGACAAACAAAACCAAAACAAAAGTGAGGAAAAGCAGATAACTAAAAATAATTAATATTCTGCATATTTAAAAAGTATTATGGTTCAAAACGCCACAATTTAGTAGCAAATGTTGTAGGCAGTATCCACAATCATTGTGTTCCACTATCAAAAGGTATTGTAATGTCTATATAACACCTTATGCTGTCCTTCATGACTCTGCATGCACCGTCAACCTACAGACACGCAGCTACACCTTTAGAATTTCCCACCCGAATCCCTGTAGGGTTCCTTCTTCCTACCCCAATGGGTCTCTTTAATTCATTGTATTCATTGAGAAGCTGATTGGTTTCTATGCAAAGTGAGCCTGATTTTGCACTCTCCAGCTTTAATAAATAAACCCCCTATATGTCTCCACTCCCAGGCATTATCCCAGCTGCAATCTCTGCTCAGGACAAACTCTTCTCTGCTTATCGCCTTATCAGGACTTCTCATAAGCGTCATGTTTTTTTTTCACAAGCCATTATGTACACAACACGCCTTAAAATTTCACCAGAACACAGAAATATACACTCACCGGCCACTTTACAAGCTACATCTTGCTAGTGCCAAGAAAATATCCCCCACACCATCACCATGAATGTTGCCGCAACCAGTCTACCCATTCTCCTCTGACATCAACAAGGCATGCTCATCCACACAACTGCCACTCACTGGATATTTCTGCTTTTTCAGACCATTCTCTGTAAACCCTAGAGATGGTTGTGTGTGAAAATCCCATGATGATCAGCAGTTTTTGAAATACTCAGACCAGCCCATCTGGCACCAACAACCATGCCACGTTCAAAGTCACTTAAATCCCTTTTCTTCTCCATTCTGATGCTCGGTTTGAAGTTCAGCAAGTCGTCTTCACAATGTCTACATGCCTAAATCCATTGAGTTGCTGCCATGTGATTGGCTGATTATCAATTTGTGTTACCAAGCAATTGAACAGGTGTACTTAATAAAGTGGCTGGTGAGTGTGTCTCCACTCCCAGGCATTACCACAGTTGCAAGATCTGCTCAGGACAAACTCTTCTCCACTCATCATCTTATCAGAACTTAACCATTATGTACACACCACACCTTACAAAATTCACCATAACACAGAAATATATAATAATCTGTCAGAATATATTATTTTCAGTTACAAATCAAACTCAAATCCCTTGTGAAATACACAACACTACCAATAAAGTACATAGGTTAACAGGGTATATTTATAAAACAGTGATTGTGACATTCACTGCAAGTGAATCTTCCTGATGTATGCATTTTAAATCTCAGGAGATTGTTTCACCACCAGTGAATGTTTGCCGGTCTTAGTATTAAACACCCTGCCTTGACCACGACCAAGAGCAAGGCAGGAGCATACATGAACAGCTAATACAAACGTACAGGTAAAAATAGGGTACAGGGCGTAACACGGAGAAAAGAATATTTTATTTTACCTGCCAGTGTTTGGTAACAGCATTCCACACACCAATTTTTCCAGTGTGGCTTGTGGCTATTAACTGATTGCCCACAAAAAACAAAGCTTCGGCTGGCACTCCAAGGCTAAAGACTCCTGCAATAATTACAGAGGACATTAACAGGCAAAAGCCCATCATCTTAAAGCTTTAAAAAGCGGACATTGCTTGCTTCAGACTCCTGTTTACCACCTAGTATTTGTGTGCCTCTCCCAGTCACTTCTATATATTGCACACTTGTTTCTATGATGATCTCACCTATTTCACTCCCTGTGCCATCACCTGAGATGGCCCACAGAATAATCTCACTGCAGGAGGAGACAGCAAGCATCTTGTCATGGTCACCCAGTGATCCTCCAACAGTCTTGGCATTAAGGGCCACCCGTTCAATCACCCAGTCGAGACACGGGCTTGTGAAAATCAGCTGCCAGCCAGAGGTTTCCTTCATTCTGTAGAAAAAAAAAAAAAAACCCATGACAGTATTAATAGGAAAGGACAGTGGGCAGAAATCTTGTATTATTCATAGATGGTATCAAGGTCCATTTACTGATAGGCAGACAGATGTCAGCCAGCAGCAGCTATACATTAATCAGCATAACCAATCAAAATCTTCTAACAACGTTAGCCCCCATTACAGGGGATAAATTTACTCTAATAAGCTTAAAGTACAAATAAAATGGATTTTTGATAACAGAGAAAGGCACAGCTCAGTGCTGTACTGGCATATATTTGCAATAACGTGCATGCTGCAATTTGTGCTTGAATGTGAAACCCATAATGTATAATCAAAAAAGTATTATGCAAGTACCTATGCCTTTTACCATGCTTGCACTTCCCACTGTTTTTTCTGGTGCATAAATGTAACAGACTAATACTGTACACTTTCTGGAATATACTGGGCTTATAGAGTACTGGTTTACAAACATTGTTTAATAAAACAGATATTGAAATGCATTACCGAACACAAACTTATCTAATTCTTATTGATTAGATTCTGTATAAATAATTGATAGAATTGACTTTACTTCATGTTATCTATGCATGAGTCACTTATGTTCCACTGAATAAGAAGTTTTTAATTCAGACTTGCAAGTAAGGTAGGCCATATATTATGCGATTTTCTTTCCTGCAACCACTCCTGTGAAGCCACTGTGTTCTCCCGGCAGGGGGTGCAGGGAGCCGTCCCTTCTGGGGGAACTCAGCGACTACGGCTAGCAATAATTGCATGCCAAAATTCCAACATTCTGGTTGTACCAAATTTGATCAATGGATCGACTTGGGTACAATCAACTTGACCATAGATGGATTGAATCTCAGCCGGTCCCTGTTGAAATTCGATCCATCTATGGCTGGCTTAACTGGAATTTTTATTTTATTCAGCACAACAGCATTCTATAGATTTGACAAGTCAGACCAGACAGAGGCATTGATGTCTCATAGATACCTGTAACAGACAATGAATTGAGCAAAAGCCACTGCAATCCAGTTATGATGTCCGCAGATGATCCTCACCATCCCAGGGTCACTGGGTGTTTCCTGAGTAAATGTTAAAGAACATGTTACCTCTATGTGGGAGTATTAAAATACCGTATGTGTATAACATCATTTCTTGCTTAAATAAAATGACTTAACCTACATACATTACTCTGTAATGCTAATTCATGACTGACACACACACACACACACACACACACACACACACACACACACACACACACACACACACACACACACACACACACACACACACACACACACACACACACACACACACACACACACACACACACACACACACGTTTTCTCTATCCAAAGGGGATGCATCACCAGACCAGTACTGCCCTCCCCAGGCATTGAATAATGAGTGGACCCAGACCTTTATCTGCCCGTAAATAGGAAGGGGCTAGGGAAAAAGAATGGATGAGAGTCTCACTATCAAGGAGGGCAAGGAGCAAAAAAAGGGGGGGTGGGTGCAGAAATGCAGCCAAGAATCCAACGGGGTGTTGGTTGGACTTGATGATGTGTTCCTGCCAGCTCTACCACAATATGGAGGCCCTTCCAAGGGGCAACAGCCTTCCCAGGTGGGAAACCAGGTGAAACTGATAAGGAGAGTGCCAAACAAACAATCATCCTAAGAGTCCAGATCATTTATTGTATATAAAAATAAGACAACAAAAGATAAAATGAAAGAAAGCGTTTCAGGAGTCAAAAACTCCCCCCTTCTACAGGGCTTAGATGAGAACATGACAAAACTTCCTATAATTATTATTATTATTATACAGGATTTATATAACGCCAACAGTTTGCTCAGTGCTTTACAATATAACGGGAGACAATACAGCAACAATACAGTTCAATACAAGAGGAAAAGGAGGGCCCTGCTCCTTGGAGCTTACAATCTAGGAGGGAGGGGCTAGTGGTACAAAAGGTAGTAACTGTGGGGGATGAACTAATTGGAAGAGTAGAAGATTCCATTATTAGCTGAGGGCAGGATAGGCTTTCCCTGAAGAGATAGGTTTTCAGAGATCACCTAAAAGTGAGCAGAGTAGGCGATAGTCTGATAAATTGGGGTAGAGAGTTCCAGAGGATGGGGAAGCTCTGGAAAAGTCCTGGAGACGAGCATGGGAGGAGGAGACAAGGGAGCTAGAGAGCAGGAGGTCTTGTGAGGAGCAGAGAGTACGGTTTGGGTGATATTTAGAGACAAGATTGTTGATGTAATTTGGGACAGAGTTATAAATGGCTTTATACGTTATTGTTAATGTTTTTACTTTTATCCGTTGGGCAATGGGAAGCCAGTGGAGGGATTGGCAGAGAGGGCTGGCAGATACAAAACGGTTAGTAAGGTGGATGAGTCTGGCAGCAGCATTCATGATAGACTGAAGAGGGGATAGCCTGCGATTCGGTAGGCCAATGAGGAGGGAGTTACAATAGTCAAGGCGAGATATAACAAGGGAGTGAATAAGTTGCTTAGTGGTTTCCGAGGTTAGGAACTGCCGTATCTTGGACATGAGACTATAACTATAAGACTCTAACCAAGAATGCCTGGACCAGGAATATATGTCAAGATAAGAGCGATGAACCTTTGCAACAGATGTGGCCTGAAGGTGCTTGAGAAACATAAGCTGAGCCTCCTTCCAGCAGGTTTCAAGCGATGCATCTCTTGCAGATAGAGGAAACACAAATAAGTGTCCTTACAATCATTCTGCCCTTTTATTTCTGCATCTGCCTTACAATGCATCTCTTGTTGATTAAACTGGGAACAGAGCTCAACACAGAATTAGAGAACCTGCCTATTAAAAGGCCTTATATAAGCCCCTGTACTAGACGAGACCTATAACCCAGGTGCCTGTTGTGTCCTCTAATAAAATAAAGCAAAGAAAAACACTTTATTACATCTTATGTATATATTCCAAATTGTTACCACATGTACACCCGCTAACATTCAAAGTTGTATGCATATGGCCATTGAATAAAATTAAAGAGTCCTATGAATTATGTGCCACTAGACCAGGGGTCTCCAAACTTTCTTAAAAAAGGCCAGTTTACTGTCCTTCTGACTTTAAGGGTCTGACTGTGCCCAGTGGGAGTAAACAATTCCCCATTTTTGGTAATAGGGGGAAGGAATAGTGCCCCATTGTTGGGGTCAGTGTCAGGAATTGCACCTCATAGCTGGTTTCAGTTGCAGGAATAATGCCTCAAGGACTGGGGAAAGGCAAGCAAAGGGGCCACATCTGGCCCCCAGGCCGCAGTTCGGAGACCACTGCACTAGACTGTAAAGCATTTACAAAAAATAGAACAAAGATGTACCCTTCATTTAGTTAAAATGCATGCAGCCTATAGCATGTGTGCGATACAGACCTCCAATATTCCCATAATTCCGTTCTTCTAACAAGCGTCCCAGGATACCAGCACCCCCCAAGTTGGGGGGCATTGTGTTACTCCTTCGTACAGGAGCCCGCTCACTTCCTCCACCTCTAGAGCTGACCTGCAGCCCAGAAACACTGTGACGGTTCCTCCTCTTAGCTGGAAACACTAGAAATAAAAATGGATACTTAAGCAATAAAAAGTGAGACATTTAAAATCTATCCACATTTTTTTTTATTAAGGAAAATAAAAATATTTAAAATGCACCAAGACACATTTATCAAGCTAGCCACCTATAGCAGCAGACAAGGTGTGTCTAGGGCCATTAAAATTGTAAAAAGTCAGTTCTCCCTAGAACCAGAGCATGTTATGAGATAATAATGAGTCATTTCTTTCAGTGAACTTGAGGGACAGCGACATATTAATAGGCCAGTCTATCATGTACCAGAAAACATTAATGGCGGCAGCCTGAAAATAAATGTTTTTCATTAGGTGCACCACCTGAACAATCAATAACATTTTAGAGGTCAAAACATTTCTGCATCTGTCAGAATCTCTTACCAGGGGGTGGGAGGTATCCATTAAACAGCACGCTGCCACATGAAGAGCGTTCCAACTCCTCACACAGCTGTAAGCGTCTCACTGAAACAAAAATTGGGGAGAGTTGGTTACCAAGTTACAATACATAGAAGAAACTGAAAGAAGAGTAAGTTTACCTAGTGGGGTAATGCCATAAAACTCAGCCTCATGTAACAGAAGAGAGCTGTTCACACCTCTGCAAGACAGTAAAAACAAAGACTGTGGGTGACAGGAAGACAGACAAGCTTATTTAAAATTGAACTCTGGGCACAAACATGTCTTTATAAATTAACTGTAAAAAAAAAAAAAAAAAAAAAATCTTCACAATTAATTCATACATTTGTATTTAGATATTGTAAAACTTTCAAAGAGAAGCCTCAAGGTACTTAGGAATAAATATTCACACAATAATATGTATTCTGGGAGTCCCTAGACACCAAGCCAATGAGAATCTAAGAGAGAAAAAAAAAAAAAAAAGACTAGTTATAGACTCAACCGGAATAGGGAATTTGTAAATGCTCAAAAGAAAGAATTCAAAAACAGAGGTGATCAATGGCGCACAAAAACTTCTTTATTAACACAGACAAAATTAAAAGTATAAAACAAACACACAAAAGATTGTACCACACTCCTCAGGTCCCAAGTAGGTAAATCCCCATCAGGGGATTTACTTTATTAGTTGATTTAACTTATTAGTTGAAAGATAATTGTATGGATGACTCATTGGTAAGCTATAACATGTTCTATGCAGGCAAAAATACAAAAAGGATGATAAAGACTCCTACATCCAGACTTGACAAGCTATATGCACCAGGATAAATCCAGAACCAGACCAATGAGGTAAGTATGAGTGCAATACAGGGAAGGATGCATGGAGGATAACAAAACTTCCTTCATGCACTAATCACCAGGCATAAAGATCATAACAGCAACTAATCCTAAACATACGACCACATGTAGTCCAGAGGAGGATGTAAATATGGTATATGATATACGATAAGCCCGTGACCCGCTCAGGTGCCGAACTGTAGGGCACCATCCAGGGAAGATCCTGTAAAGGTGGTTCACTCCCTTGAGAGGTTTGACATGTAGCAGCCATAGATGAACTAGCAATGCAATTCCTTCAAAATTGTAGATAATTGGTGTGGCCAGTAAACACTCAAGCAGTCGGAGTATGCAGAGACTTCCCAGTCAAAGAAATGGCATTATCTGAGGCACAATCCCTTTGTATGCACAGGGGTGGATATGGTTTAGCATGTAAGCAATCAGAATACACAGTGACTTCTCAGTTATAAGGATGGCCACCACACAAAACCCTTTTGAGAGGCAAAATGACACCTTAAAGCATAGAGCCTTGTAGATATCTTCTAAGTCAGACAAAACATTGTATGTGAAGAGTAGGCACACAGTGCAAGACCAACAGTCCTTCCAGATGGTAACAGCATAACAGCATGGGGTAGGAGAATGTAAAGCCACTAGGAGGAGCATCCATAGCCAATAAAAAGGTACTTATCTTGAAATAGAAGTCCATGGAGAGTTCAGTGCAGGACCTGGAAGTGTGGTATTGGGCCATTTCTGACCGGTTTCGCTGGTACAACCGGCTACCTCAGAGGTAGGCTCCAAAAGTTTGCTTGACAGTCTACTGTCTGAGCTTGGGCACTTAAAATGTCCACCCCATCCGTACTGCGCATGTGCGGGGCAGGGCCACATCGTGACGTGGGGTGCGTATGATGTCACATGCATGTGCAGTCCCAGGAGGCCAAAACAGAACACACAGGGAGAACAATCAGTGCAGAGCATTCCCTGCTCCATCTAGTGGACATAATCCACACTACTAGAATCTCTAATCAATAACAAATATACCCAGCTGAGAAAAGCCTGGCGTCAACAGTAATAGAATTGATAAGTTAAAAATATTTGTTGTTCAAATTGCAATCCTGCACCAAAGAACACCCAATCCTATCCTGTATACAAAAACATATAAGATACAAAAACCCTATTTGTACATAACAAGAGAGAAAAAAAAAAAAAAGAAGGGGAAGAAAGGAGTGAAGGGGGGATCCAAGCGGAGGAGGGGGAAATACACCGAAGTGGGCAGGAAGGGGGCAAAGCTCAAGCTCTCATTCAAGCCCGGAGGTTTGGTGGACTCAAATTCCCATATCCACCTCGTTTCATGTTGGAGTACCACTTTATCAAAATCCTCTCCTCTAGTATCATAGGGAACAGCCTCCACTACCCAACAGCGCAGGCACTGGGGGTTGCTATTGTGTTCAAGACAGACGTGTCTGGCCAACGGAAATTTAAGGTGGTAAGTGGAGATCTCGTAAAGATGATCTTGAAATCTCTTACGGATAGTATGTATAGTTTTACCAACATAGAAGGATCCATAGGTGCAGAGAATGATATATACAACTCCAGACGTGCCACAATTTGCTCTTTGTCTACATCTGAGGATTCTGCCAGTTGGCAAAGTTAGGCTGTAATCCTCAAACATGGAGGGACAGACATCACAAACATCCACACCTAACCATACCAGACCATAAACGTAATCTAGGGGGAGACCAGTTGAGATCACTGTGAACCAGGAGATCTGCCACAGATTTAGCCTTACTATGAATTAGGTCTGGGCGGTTATTGACATACTTCTCCACCGAAGCATCCTTCTTGAGAATGTGCCAATGTTTGGCACAAATATCCTTAACGTTTGTTGATAATTCTGTGTATTGTATATTGATTTTGTCTCCTGTTTATCCGTGGGTTTCCCGCTGGGTCCAAAAATGAGTTCTCTCACGATCAGATTCTTTCGCTCTATGATACGCCTTAATGAGGCATTTCTTGTTATAACCTTGTCTAGTGAACCGTTCACACAGGTCTAAAGCTTCCCCCTCAAAATCAAGAGAGGGTCAGAGCAATTCCGCCGAGCTCTCAAGTACTGTCCTACCGGGATACCCTGGATCAAAGAGCGAGGATGGAAACTGCTTGCATCCAATAGATTGTTCGTTGCTGTGGGTTTCCTAGATAGCTTGGTGTTGATGCCCCTGTTCTCTATAAGTTCAATTTCTAGGTCCAGGAAAGTCACTTTCTGGGGACTGCATTCACTGGTCAACCTAAGATTGTATGGATTAGGAGTAAGTTTATCCACAAATTGTTGGGCCTGTTCTGTTGTACCTGTCCAAAGGACAAGGACATCATCAATATATCTGTACCAAGATAAAATCCTGGACAGATATGATGGTAGAACCTCACCATTTCTCCAATTCTCCCAAACAGCCAAGATTCTTAATCTCCCAGGTAGATATTAGCTTGGCAAAATGATCTATCACCAAATTGAAACTTATTAGGAGTAAGGAGAAATTCCAGTAATTCAACTATGAATTGATTATGTTTTTGTTTTCTGATGGCTCTACTACTCAAAATTTTTTCTATAACCTGCAGATCCTTGGAGTGTGGAATTGAGAAATAGAGGGTTTCAATATCAAGGGTGAAAAGAATGGTACCAGGGGAATGGTGAGGTCATGCAAAAGTGTCAAAAGATGTAGGGTATATCTAATGTAGGAGCATTGTTCAACCACAAAGGGCTGGAGGATCCTATCTACGTATTCACTGGATTTCTCCGTGATAGATCCCATTCCAAAAATTATGTGGCGACCTGTAATGATAGAGGTAAGCAGTAATGACTAGGCCTTACCTAGCAACGCCCTGGGAGCTTGTTTTTTATGTAAAGACACCTCTTATCTGCATAGAGTCTTTTGGCAAAGGTGAACTACTCCTTTAAGGTTATGGGTTAAAAAGGAAAAAAATTAAACATATTCACCTCTATGTAGCAGAATTGTTGTGATTCTGTAGCTATCCTTAGTTGACTCTATGACCCAGAACTAAGCGATCGCGATTGCTTAGTTCTCAGTCCATTCATAGTACACAGCGGTGATTGTCAGTCACTGCCCTCCACTCTGCTCCTCTAATGCTCACTGGAGTGCTGGGCAGGGATGGGGCACAGCTGGTTCTGGCTCTTAGCTAGCTGTCAATCAGGCAGCTGGGTGGATCCCGACAATATTGGAGTGGCTCTGCCACTTCAGGTGATAGCAGGCTATAGCCCGATATCGGCTGATTCTGGGTCACAGGAGAGCAAAAGTGAAATCCTCTGACCCAAAACAGAAGTATGGCCAAAAAAGTATTGGCACCCATACTTAACTTTTAAGAATACTAGTAGTAGTACATCGATGACACATTTTCATTCACCATCGGAGACATTCTGTATACACTAACCTGGTATCAAGCTCTTTGGTGCGCAGAAAGTTCAGTATGGGAGCAAACACAGTAGGGTCTCTATCAATGAAAATCTGAGATAAAAATGAATAAAAAAAAAATAGGATGTTGTTCACTTTTTTTTTTTTTCCACAGGAAAACTACAAGCTTTCTAATGTGATCTTTTGATATACCAAGATATGTTGCTTTTAGAACTTAATTTCTGTATATACTTTGTAATTATACAAGTACATGGAACAGTCACTTCATGACCGCTGTGAAGTACACTAGACTGGAGATCTGCATATGTAAACACAATAATGGAAGTATGGCGTGTCAATGATAACATACGTCCTCACTTGAAATGTATACTGCGGTATCGTAAGTCTGCAGCATATTGCAGTTTAACACATTGAACAGGTACACAATGTTTTTTTTTTCCAGAATTTGCATTATGTTTTAACTGTAATATGTTATTGATTACATGTGCTTTAAAAAAAAAAACAAAAAAAAAAACAAAACAAACTCACTGCTCCAGTTTCATCCTTTAAGGAGGAGATTCGACCACTCAGCAAGCTGGTAAAAGAAACATGCTGAATAAATAAAATTGTTTATGGCTATCGTTTACAGCAGAAGCTTTCAGTGACAATCAGTTAGGTTCAGTCTACCTAAAACAGAAATATGCAGCAACCTGATATAACCAGGATTCTGTATTTTTTTTTTTTGAGGAACTATGGTGGTCTTTGCACTTGAGATTCAAGCTTTATCCAATTACCGCAGCCAATATAACAAAACATTGCTCCTCTTGTTGGGGTTTTTATTTATTGTAAATTGCAAATATTCCAGCAGGAGGTTCAAGACTAATAATCTAGGGTGCAATCCCTGATGTGGACAGCTTGACTCTGGAGTCATTGTAAGAAGTAGAGTCTGGAAACTTGTTAGCCACTGATTAATTTGAAAAGTTTGGAGATTAAGCAATACTCTTCACTGGCTAATGCAAGTTATTAATGGTGCAAGCTTTCAGGATCTTTGTAATTACTGGATAAAACCTGAGGAAGGTCCCAAAAGCTTGAATCTATAAAGTGTGCATAAACCCTAACCATGAACTTCACTTATTTGTTCCCTTTGGGTCCGTTAAATACCATTGGAAGTATTTTGTTATATATGTTAGATAAGTGCAAAAAAGCCTGTTAAACATTTAGAGCTGTTCTTTGTCATGTGCACCACTCCTGCATTATCTCAAGGAGAGAAATCAGCGCTTCTGGTTCTCATTTTGGAACTACAGAATGATAAGCCTACGTGCTGTAGAGATCTGAGAGTATGTGGGTCTTGGTAGCTTAGCAGAGAAAGCTGGGCAGGGCTGACACTGCTCAGTCCACAAAAATGCTGTGTATTATAAGCCCACAACAAATGGTGACAGGGGAGGGCTCTCCAGCAGATTGACAGCCTCAGCTCTGTTCTTGTGAGCTGTGCAAAGGGGGGGGGGGGGGGGTAGGGGCATTCCTTTCCTCCAATCAGCTCTCAGACCTCTCCTAACTGAGCTCTGCAAAGGAGTAACTTCAGCTCTCCAGCCCATTTTCTGAAAGCTAAGACAAGCTTTATAGATTGTGGACTTTGAACAGATGTAGAGAATAGAGGACTGCAAACAGACAGATACAACTTATGTAGGAGAATTTGTTTCATCTCTGTGTATCACCTGAGGCCAGTCACTTCACTGGGTATATGTGAGGGCTTACAATCACTTTAAATTGCTCTGACATACTGAATACTCACCTGGAGAAGAATGTGTCAGAAGCCCAGGTAAGAGTCTGTCTTGAAGTGCTAAACCTGTGAGAAAAAAAAAAAAAAAATGCAATTTTGGTGTCTTGTTCAAGACAAACATCAGGAGCATTCCACAGATCAATATATTTTCTGATGGTATGATGTCTAGCGGGCTTTAAAATGGATAAAAAAAAAAAAAAAAACCAAAAACAAAAAAAAACAAAAAAACACAACATACCTACTACTTCCTTATTCCAGCCAGGACTAGAACTACAGACATTCCCCTCTAGTACCTGCCAGCTGTGCAATGGGGAGGGAGTAATGTAGATAAGAGAGTGCCTACGATTCCAAGGCAGCCCACCAACATGATACTGAATCCCCAGAGAGAAGCAGAAAATCCCCTCTGGCTTCAGATAAACAGGCCTACAGCAAAGCCTACCGCAGAGACTCCTCTTGCTCCTGTTTGTCAATAGAAAACTAATGCGGGCCATAGACGAGATGAAAAACCCCAAAAAAAAAAAAAAAAAACGGCCAAGTGCGGTAATCGGTCGGCTGTTTTTCGTGATTTTTGACCTTTTAGATTATCGGTCCTGCTGGAAAATAATCGGCCAAATTTGTCGTTCTGCCGATTTTCGCGCGGCAATGATGGACCAAATTTGGCGATCTTTTTTCGATATTTAAAAATGAGCTTGCGCAGTGACATGAAAGAAGAAGGAAAAGAAATAGAATATGAAGAAGGAAAAGAAGAAATAGAATATGAAGAAGCAGCAGAAAAAAAAAAAAAAAAAAAGAAAAAAAAGAATTTCAGTCCGATATTATATTTGACATTTAAAAGTATAGCAACATTGTATCTATTTGTATCCGAATAGAAACATCTGTATCTGAAATGGATACAAATAGATACAAATGTTGCAAATTTTTCTTCTTCTGCATATTCTATTTCTTCTTCTTCTGCGTATTCTATTTCTTCTTCTTCTGCGTATATTCTATATAATTGCCGGCCGTAGACGGGACGAAAATCAGCCAACCTTTGTTTACCAATAGTGGTAATGTCGGCTGATTGAACAACCTATTTTTCATTTTTCAAAAAAAAAACAAAAACGGCCGGTTTTCTCCCCATCTATGGCCTGCATTAGGAATGACAGTGGATGGTCACCGATCACCACACCCAGAAATGGTCAGGGACTACAGGGATAGCACCTTCCATGTACTTGTGTTTTCTCTGTCACTTCACGCTGACAGGGTTTTGCCAAAAATTCCAGCCAGCTGTCACAGCAAAGGACTCTGCACTCATGGGACTAGTAATATTGATGCTGTTCTACACTTCAGAAATGGCTCTGCAAACTGTGGAAGGCAGCAGCCAACAGCAATGACCCCCCATGAGCACCCCACAATTTACAATCGCAAACAGAAGCTGCCACAGTACATACAACTTATGGTTACATTAAGACAACACACAAACACAGAGTGAATATAAAAAGTCTACACACACCCCTGTTAACCTCTTGCCGCCCGGCCAATGGCAGATTGGCGGCCGGCAAAATCCTTCAGCGTTCCGGTTGGACGCCATATGGCGTCCTTTCGGGCATGCGCAGTTTGCTTGCCTGCAGAGCCGCGCGATCTGTCACCGGCGGTGTACCTCGGACACGGCCGATGACAGATCTGAGTACAGGCCCCGTTGCCGGTACCATGTGACCAATCACAGCAGGTCACATGACAGTTGTATACAATGAATGGTTTCATTCCTGCCATCTATTGTATACTAGTGTCTAGCTGTGAATGGTCACAGTGATCACATGCACAAGCTGGGCCAATCACAGCACAGCCATGGCCAAATCACAGCTAAGCACAAAAAAAAAAAAAAAACCCTGAATGAATGGATGTCATTCAGGTAAAATGTTTGCTTATAGAAAAAAAATGTAATAAAAAAATTTAAAAAAAACTATATTTTTTTTTCATACTGTCACCAGTCAGTGTCCCTGATCACCGCCATGCCAGTTATATGATGATGCTGTACTGCACTGGTGACAGTATGTAAAAAAAAAAAAAAAAAATAGTGAAAATAATTTTAATTTTTTCGTTTTCCGAAAAATTATGACAAAAAAAATACAACTTCAAAAAACTCGCCATGCCTCTTATGAAGTATGTCGGACTGTCTACTTTGCAAAAAGGGCTCATTTGGGGGATATCTGTACTGTTCTGACATTCTTGGACCTCAAGAAATTAGATTGGCTGTCAGTACTTCAGGATTGATCAATATTCAGATCTATCCCATAGTTTGTGAACTCTATAACTTTCCTACAGACTAAAAAATACATCCTATTTTGGGTTATTTTCACCAAAGACATGTAGCAGAATACATCTTGGCCTAAATTTATGAAGAACAATTATTTGCAAACTTTTATAACAGAAACAAAGAAAACGTGTTTTTTTTTTTTTTTTTAATTTTCGTTCTTTTTTTGTTAATTTACCAAAAAATAAAAACCCCAATGGTGATTAAATACCACCAAAAGAAATCTCTTGTTGTGTGAAGAAAATGATAAAATTTTAGTTTGGGTACAATGTTGTATGACCGCGCAATTGTCATTCAAAGTGTGAGAGCGCTGAAACCTGAAAAATGGCCTGGGCAAGAAGGGGTTAAAAGTGCCCTGTATGGAAGAGGTTAAAATGTCAGGTTTCTGTGATGTAAAAAAATGAGACAAAGGTAAATCATTTCAGAACTTTTGCCACCTACTAATACTTTGTTATAGCACCTTTTGATTTGATTCCAGTACTCAGTACTTTTGGGTATGAGTCTATCAGCATTGCACATCTTGACTTGGCAATATTTGCCCACTCTTCCTTGCAAAAACACTCCAAATATGTCAGATTGCGAGGGCATTTCCTTTGAAAAGTCCTCTTCAGATCACTTCACAGATTTTTGATCGGATTGAGGTCTGGGCTCTGGCTGGGCCATTCCAAAACTTTAATCTTCTTCTGGTGAAGCCATTCCTTTGTTGATTTGGATGTATGCTTTGGGTCATTGTCATGCTGAAAGATGAAGTTCCTCTTCATGTTCAGCTTTCTAGCAGAAGCCTGAAGGTTTTGTGCCAATATTGACTGGTATTTGGAATTCCCTCTACCTTGACTAAGGCCCCAGTTCCAGCTGAAGAAACAGCCCCAAAGCATGATGCTGCTTCACTGTCGGTATGGTGTCCTTTAGGCGATGTGCAGTGTTGTTTTTGCGCCAAACATATCTTTTGGAATTATGGCCAAAACGTTCAACCTTGGTTTCATCAAACCAGAACACATTTTCCCCACATGCTTCTGGGAGACGTCAGATGCGTTTTTGCAAAATTTAGTCGGGCTTGGATTTTTTTCTTTGCAAGAAAAGGCTTTAGTCTTGCCACTCTACCCCATAGCCCAGACATATGAAGAATACGGAAGATTGTTGTCACATGTACCACACAGCCAGTACTTGCCAGATATTCCTGCAGCTCCTTTCAATGTTGCTGAAGGCCTCTTGGCAGCCTACCAGACCAGTTTTCTTCTTGTCTTTTCATCAATTTTGGAGGGACGTCCAGTTCTTGGTAATGTCACTATTGCACCATATTTTCTCCACTTGATGAGGCCTGTCTTCACTGTGTTCCATGGTATATCTAATGCCTTGGAAATTCTTTTTTACCCTTCTCCTGACTGATACCTTTTAACAATGAGATCCCTCTGATGCTTTGGAAGCTCTCTGTGGACCATGGCTTTTGCTCTAGGATGTGACTAAAAAAATGTCAGGAAAGACCTATTAGAAAAGCTGAACTTTATTTGGGGTTAATCAGAGGCACTTTAAATGATGGAAGGTGTGTACTGACTCCTATTTAACATGATTTTGAATGTGATTGCTTAATTCTGAACACAGTTACATCCCCAGTTATACGAGGGTGTGCACACTTATGCAACCACATTATTTTAGTTTTTTATGTTCACCCCCCCTTAAAAGATTTCAGTTTGTTTTTCAATTGAGTTGCACAGTTTACAGGTCACATTAAATGTGGAAAAAGTTCTGAAATGATTTATCTTTATCTAATTTTTTTTACATCACAGAAACCTAACATTTAACAGGGGTGTGTAGACTTTTATATCCACTGTGTAGGACTCTAAAGTTTTAGGTTTTTTTTTTACGATTTTTACATACAAAGTGTATAGTTCAATGGGCTTGTATTGGAAAAAATGTACTGTAAAAGGGGACACCCAGACAGAGCCTGTCTGATTGAAATGAACATGAAAGATCCACAAATCTGGTAACTTTAACTGCCTCCCACCAGCCATATATTAATATGACGGACGCAAGGTGGTTCTCTCGTTCTGGGAGGACATCATATGACGTCCTCCCATTCTAACCACGCATGCGCGGCTCCAGGAGAACACAGCGGGGCGATCGGCGGTGCGCTGTGTCCCTCGGACACAGTGGATCACCGATCCATGGAAAGAGCTGAAGATGTTGGCTCGGTCATGTGATCAGCTGTGTCCAATCACAGCTTAGCACATGTAAACAGGGAAATGCCGGTTATCGACATTTCTCTCCCCACGAGCTGTCACGCTGAGAGCTCGTGAGGAGAGGACAACCGGTAATCAGCATTCCTTGGAGTGGACATGTGCACAGATCATCAGAGCACTGATGATCAATGTGCCCTGATGATCTGTGTAGCCCCAGCAGCGCCACCTGTCAGTGTCCATCAGTGCCAGCTCAGTGCTCATCCATGCCACCTGCCAGTGCCCTTCAGTGCCCATCAGTGCCACATTTCAGCGTCCATCTGAGCTGCCAGTCTGTGCCACCTATCAGTGCCAGTCAGTGCCGTCTATCAGTGCTGCCTTTCAGTGCCCATCAGTGATGCCTGTCAATGCCCATCAGTCCCACCTACCAGTGCCTCCTCAGTGCAGCCTATCAGTGCCCATCACTACAGCCTCATTAGCGCACATCAGTGAAGGAGAAAAATCACTTATTTACAAAATTTTATAGCAAAAACTAAGAAAAAAACTTTTTTTTTTTTTTTCAAAATTTTCAGTGGTTTTTGGTTTAAGAAAAAATAAAAAAACCCAGAGGTGATTAAATACCACCAAAATAAAGCTCTGTCACAAACAAATGATAAAAATTTCATATGGGTACAATGTTGCATGACCGCGCAATTGTCATTCAAAGTGCGACAGCGCTGGAAATTGGCCTGGGCAGGAAGGGGGTATAAGTGCCCTGTAGGCAAGTGGT